CAGATGGACGTACCTACCTCGACATCTCCATCATTGCCCGTGCTCGCGCCCGCGCTCGCGAGCGGAACGACGAATGTAGCATCCGTCGTGCGCAACACTGGCCATCAAAATGTCACGTTTGCGCTGCGGGACGACCTAATGGTCGTCTCTTCCACTCCGCAAAACGGCACGCATGCACTGCAGGACGACCTCGCGGTCGTACTCTCCGATTCGCAAGGAGGCACGATGGACTTGCAGCGATGCATGACCATCGTGCCCCATCTCACCTCGACTGCCACTAGTGCAGCGGACCCCTTGTCGGACAGTAGCATCGCGCTAACATCGGCGTCCCAAGATGGATGGCACTTCCGCGAGGAAGTGCAGGCCTCCGGCTGCTCCGACGCAGCTGAACCTTCTGTGGTTCAGTCGGCCAAACCACGGGACGACCCCGACGAGTGCTCCCGCGACGCGCTCGACTCCGCAAGGATTCTGGAAAGCCGACCGAGGCGTAAGGCCTCTCTAAGAAAGGCCTCTCTGCGAGAGGCCTCTACTGCCCCTTCGCGAGCACAAGTAGCTCACGTCCGCGCAGTCGAACCGCCCGCGATTCAACTGGCAGACTATCCGGACGGCCTCGATCTCTCCAGCAGCCACCGATTGTACGCGGCAGCGCCTGAAGAAGACGTGCACTTCCAACAGGAAGTGCAAGCCCTCGGTCTCGTCAAGACCGCTGAACCTTTGGCGGTTCAGCCAGGAAGCCCGCGATACGATTTCGACCGGCTCGACGAAGTGGCGGACCTCGATCTCGACCTTTCCTGCAACCACCATCCTCCCCGCGATCCCGGCGCCCCGACGAGCGCGCAGCCCGACGATCGCGTACTCCCGAGGAACGCGCGAACTCGAGCTCGCGACCCGACTGCTGCACTACCGACAGTGCAGCGACCGGCGCCTACGGACCTGACCGACCAGAACGGACTCCCATCCGTCAACCCGGCGAGAACTTCATAGTTCTCGCCGATGGCTCGCTCCTAGGGACCCCCTACCAGCTTCACACCAACCTCTCCGCGGCCCCCGACACCCATGGCGAGTACGACAGGCTCCGAGAGTCGGAGAACTCACGCATGACCCGAAGATCGAGCGCCGAACGGACAGAGGGTCAGGTCAGGCACGAGGTAGACGGGGATGAGGGTGCGGAGGCAGGAGGGGCAGTTGAGGAGGGTCAGGCAGAAGGAGGAGAAGGGGAAGGGTGCGGCGTAGGCGAGGAAGCCGAGCATAAGTGCTCGAAAGACGAAGGTACGCCCCTACCGGACGTACCTCCCCCGCCTCCACCACCATCTTCTACACCGCTACCACCACCCGTGACGAACACAACAACCGAGGCGGTTGTCGTGGCAGTCACCGCATACGACTGTGGTACAATCGGCCTAGGGGACGACCTACAGATCGTACCCGGCATGGTCAGGCACGGCGGTATGATCGACGAACACACAAGCTCGTTCGACGCACCCAACGTCCTGGTAACTCCTACGTGGACGTCGGGCTTCATGGGCGACGCATATGCAGAGGAGCTCGGCGGTGAGCTCGACAACGAGTACCTCACGGTACTCGCCTCGCCGTCACCATGTCCCATCCCGACACCACCACTGACGTCGAGTATTACACTCGACGCCAGCATTACTGAGCTCGCCGGTGACCCGATGAGCGAGTACACATCAGTACTCGCCTCGCGACCGCCGTCACCCGGTCCTGTACCACTGCCCGCGCCGATTGCGACCACCCCAAAGGTCGCCGCAAGGGACAGTGGTCCATTCACACCACAGAACGACATAGCAGTCGTATCTGTGGCCTCGCACGGCGGCGCGTCCGAAGTGCATACACGCCCTACCGACGCGTCCCACCTCTCCACGTCTGGTGCGGCACCGCCATCAAGCACTACATTCGATGCAGAGGGTGCTGCAGGCGGACACGATCGTCTGACTGACCAGGGCGAGTACCGTGAGGTACTCTCCCACCCACCTTCTCCCGTTACAGTGCCACCACTGGGCGACACTGAAACGAGCATTGACGAAGAAACGGGCAGGCCAGATCCCGTGGATCGCGAGCAGTCGACCGGAACATCTACAAAGGTAGATGTACGACAGGCTGCACCCGAGCACGGATGGCGACCGTCGGGACGCTACATGCCACCTGCACGTCGCGTCCACTGGCAGTACCTCGAAGACCAACGTGGACTGGCCGCGGCTCATGGCGACGAACACAACACCAAGTACCGTGAGGTACTTGGCACATCCAACAAACAAGACCGGGACCTACCGCCGAGCACGTCCAAGATATATGTGCCGTCTCATTACTCGGACCCGGCTCAATCGAAGGGATCGACGTGGACTGACAAGTCCACGTCAATAACTCCAGTAAAGGAGACACTTGGCGAGGACGAGTCCTCGTACTCGCGGGTGCGAATACCTGGACCGTATGGTGTGGCACTGGCAGGCACATCCAACTTACTGGGCGATGCGCCCGCATCGATTGATGCGACGACCAGGGCGTCGTCGCGCGCCCGTAAGAAGGAACAGCCACCGCAAGGGCTGGAATCATCGGACTCAGGTGAACGGCAGCGTTCAACGACTACTGCTGATACCGAGACCGAGCCGGCGCGAGTGCAAGGAGGAGATACCTCCTCTACGAGGGGGGGTACTCTCCTGAGAGGGGAAGGGAGCGGGGCCTCGAATGGCCACCGCTTGTTCCACAACACCACCAGTACATCATATAGTGATGTACTGGGATCGGACGCAGTCACGGGCGGTACATCCAGCGTTGAGCTCGATGTACGAGCTTCACGTCGAACACCGAGACAGGTACCACCCGTACCACGCGCATCGAGCGATCGACTCGACGTACAGAGTACAGGTGACCGTCGCGGCCACGACATCACTCGGGAAGTTAGTACCTCGCGCAGCGACATACCAGCATTGAACCGAGTACCGACTGCGCCGGATCGTCCAGTAACCATTGACGTGAGTCGATGGCCCATGGACAAGGTGTTGCACGAGTTGTGTTTCAGCCTCCTCGCGGACCAGCTCGACCACGATTTCGACGAGGCTGAATCCGCGGCGAGTGATGGCGAGTGGGCCATTTGGGCTCACTGCAAGAGATCTGCACTCAGCTGTGGACAGGCCATCGAGGAGATGTCCCCGCGACCGGGGACATATTCTCGTGCTGCTCGTCGAGCATGGGACCACTTCCAGAGGGAATTGGAAGTGGTTCCTCTCGAGTTTGATCCTCTGCTCATTGCACCATTACCTATGGAGATGGTGCGATATTGGGCCTACAACAAGCTGGGATGGCTTGTTGTACCACCTCGCAGTCAACCTCGGGATGACTCCGACTGGTATAACTCCTCTGATGAGGAGCCTCATACCACCACTCGTGAGGAGTACCCTGACCAGATTGAGTCGGAGTACTTCTCCGAGTCCGAGCACCATAGCTCGTGGTACTCACGAAGTTCAGGGTCTGAAGAGACAAACTCGGTAGTAGTCTCTGACTACTACGAGCAGTCCGAGATGGAGGATACCCAAAGTTCTTCTGCACTATCTGCCGAAGATGAGGGTAACTCGGAAGATGCAGACTACTACTCCGAGTCCGAGTAGTAGTCTACGTTCCTGGTTGCATAACTCCATCGAGTTATGTATGACAATGGTGAACGGTTGTGTCTGCTCACTGACACGATCTAGCATGTCGTTGTCTACAGTTCAACATCATCTTTGTTTTGCCACTTGCTACCACCGTTGGGTTGTTGCATATGTTTCCTTTCCTTTTCCTTTTTTCTATCTGTTTCTCTGGTTATCGCTGGGACCCGTGGTCGTGTCCAGTGGGGGAGGGTGTAACGGATATTCCCGTTACGGTATGTCTCGTCTTGTATGTTTGTCATTGTTTGCCTGAGGGCTCGTATGGCGCGCCTGTGCACCTATGAGACCTCAGCCTTTACCTCGTCACCGCTTTGTATGCACTCTGTAGACAGATCTCCTTGAATAGAGACTGGGTGCAGTGCATACGAGGCACGACGAGTGAGGCGCCATTACAAGTCGTGAGCTTGGGCCCTCCGCGCCACGCCACCGCCTTCTCGCCCTGCCACAGCCCTCCTACATCACCCCGCCGCCCTCTACCATGCGGCCGGCGAGCGTGTGGGCGAGCGAGCAGACGGCGGGAGAGCGGGCGAGCGAGTGGGCGGCTGAGCGAGCGGGCGGGCGGGCGAACACGACTGACGAATGGAAGGTGGGCACGGAACAATCATGGGTGACCGCGACGGGCAGGGTGCGCGCAACGCACGCCAATTGCGAGCACCTACACGATTGCCCACGGATCCACGGCCCGTGGACATCAGTTCACCGAACCCCGACATGATAGCCCGACGCCCAGCAAGTGGGGCGTTGTCGGAACCGGCAAGCACAGTGGCGAAGGGAGGGTGGGTATGTGGGTGGACAGACAGGTAAGATCACGATGAGTACTAGCTGGTAGTTTACAGTGTATTGTATGTACTATTAGTACTACGTTCTGTTACGCTCTAAGCAGCAGTCTGACGACCATCTGAAATGGTCTGAGTGATGGTCTGAAGGCCGTCTGACATCAGAGATTGCTTCTGATGTCAGAACTAATCTCCCGTTGTCAGACGCGAAGTCTGACGGGTCTGAGGAGTCTGAGTCAGTCCTCTCAGACTGCTTCAGACAAACTTGCAGTTTTGCTGATGTACATGGGCCGAGGAGTCTGCCACTCCGAGTCAGCCCAAAGCCGACGAGTTCTTGAGCCCTGCAACAAGAGCACCCTCACCTGGCCCATCACACAATATCAGTGCCGTGATTGACCCGGCTTTGCTGGCAGACAATGACACGGCATCTGTTGTCGATGTAGGTAGCCTGACATGTCAAATCCACTGTTTCGCTGCTGAACAGGGTGAGCAGGCTTCGCCAAACCCTGCATCTTCCTCCATTAGTCAGCGATCAGGACATCATGGCATCTTCGACCCACCTCCGAGCAGGGATGAGGCACATCAGGCCTGGGAGGACATCTCGAACCTTCTCCGGCCTCCCAGGAAGACGGGACGAGGGTACAAGCACTTCGTTGGAAGCGACCTCCTTCGCGAGAGACTTGAGAAGATGCAGCTGATGCTGTGGCATTACAGTTGCAATATTGAGGAGCCTGGCTGGATAGCTGCGTCCGAGTTGGCCTGTGAATCACATCGGGTTGGCGAACACGAAACAGCATCTCGTACGCTGCGTAAATGGTGTCGTACCTATCTGCGAGACAGAGATGCCATACCAATACCATGCCCCAATACCTGGACTGTATCAGTCTTAGACGAGGACCTTGCACAAGACATCCGAGCTCACCTATGGACCAAGGGCAAAGACGTCAAGGCCGAGGACATCATCACTTTCCTTGACACCCCGGAGATCAAGGAGAAGTACTCCCTAGATGGAAACATCAGCCTCGCCACAGCGAAGCGATGGCTGCACTCACTGGGGTACCGATGGGGCCGAGGTCCAAAGCGCCAGTACGTTGATGGGCATGAGCGTGAGGATGTTGTGGAATACCGGAACAACATCTTCATTCCCGCGATCATTGATATGGAGGGCCGATTGCGTCGATGGACCGAAGACGGCGTGGGCGAAGTGATCGACCGTCCATTTTCTGGGCGTCATATCGTGATCTGGTATCACGACGAGAGTACCTTCTACGCCAATGATCGGCGGCGCATGTACTGGTACCAGGAAGATGACGAGGTGAACACCCCGCCCAAGGGTGAAGGACCTTCCATCATGGTGTCCGACTTCATTTCCGCGGATTACGGCTGGCTCGCGTCGCGCGATGGTCAACGCTCGGCGCGGATGCTCTTTCGTGCTGGGAAGAACCGCGATGGCTATCTGTCTGGTGCAGATATCGAGCGGCAGCTTGACACTGCCATGGACATCCTACAATGGGACTACCCCGACGACGATCATATCTTCGTGCTCGACAATGCCCGCACTCACATCAAACGCGAAGATGATGCCCTCTCAGCTCGCCGTATGCCCAAAGGCCCCAGCGATAACTTCGGATCTGTGATCAATGTGGTTGATGAACACGGGAAGGTTGTCTGTCGTCCCGATGGAAAGCCTGTGAAGACGAAGATCAGGATGGCTGATGCGACCTGGAATGGAAAGCCACAGCCATTGTATTACCCTGATGAATACCCTGCTGAGCCTGCGCTCGCTGGCAAATTCAAGGGTATGGCGAAGATCATGGAGGAGCGCGGGGTGGAGAACACATCCGCGATGCGTGCAGAGTGCAAGGCCTTCAAATGTGAACCGGGTCAAACACACTGCTGCTTGCGGCGGATGCTGTTCGAGGAGGAAGATTTCGCCGGGATCGAGTCACTCGTGGAGAAGCGGTGCAAGGCACGCGGCTTCCGTGTGCTCCTCCTGCCGAAATTCCATCCCGAATTGAATCCCATTGAGCAGTGTTGGTGCCATGCGAAGCAGGTTTATCGCCGATTCCCGCAGTCGTCGAAGGATAGCGATCTCGAGATGTATGTGAAGCAGGCCATTTGTTCCGAGTCAGTTGACTTGGTCTCTATTCGGCGGTCAGTACTGTGACAGATCCTGCATGATACTCACACTGATTCATCTCTTTTAGCTTTGTTCGCCGCTCGCGTCGATTCCTCGATGCCTACGCCAAAGGACTGAATGGACGTCAGGCTGCATATGCGGCGAAAAAATATCGTGGGCATCGTGTTGTTCCTGACTCAATTTTCGAGGATCTCGAGGGGGCTTCTCTCGCATAGACCTTACTGTATTTGTTTAATACTGCTATTCTGCCTAATGTCAACTTCTCGTTTGCTTCTCATTTCTTTGTACGCTATAGGGATGCGAATTCTGTGCATGCGATCGTATGCCCAGAAAGGGGTCAACCGTAGACGCTCAAATCCAGCGCCCGTGCACGGGCGTAGGACGCTTCACGTGATGTAGTCGGATGTGCTCGAGCCCTATCATACTCCTACTGAAGAGCCCGTTAGTGCGCAAGAAGCTTAGACAGTGCTAGACGCATTAGGTGCCTTAGACAGCGATTAGATCGCTCAGACACATTTAGATGTCTTAGGGTGTCTCAGACAAACAGAGGCTTTGCTGATGCGTTAGAGAGGTCTTTGATCGAACGTGCTGCGGTTTGTTTACACGAAATTCATCATGGGGCGTGGGCCTTCCGGATTGGTCGTCTCTGGCCTGTCATGCATTCGTAAACCCGGACAAGTAAACATCATGCAGCAGCCCCTTTTTCAGGTATTGACGGGCGTTCAAACTGCAGAATGACTCGGGGTGAGGCAGTTGCGTGTACTACACGGATAATGACGGCTGCTTACATGGCCATCATGGAATTTACGTAGACTGCGAGAGGAGTTCAGTTGGTCAACGGTGTGCGGCAGATGAAAGACGACGGCAAATAGAATGCGTACCTTTGCCCCCAATAGAGTGAAATACGATCCATATCACATTCTGTTCATACAAGTATGCTAACCACTTTTACCGGCATCGTCAGTACTAGTGTGCCATGACAATATATCGCACATATATAATGACACACCGTTGTACACAATGCGATTTGCATCACACTGTAGTGTCGTTCCCGTGTTTCATCAGTTATTGCAATACAAGGGGATTCGGGGAAGTGCCTCACGCAGAGAGGACACCGCGATTCACAACGTGCGCGATGAGCTTGCGAATCAGGCTGTCCGTTCTAAGTGAATGAGATGTCACTGTGAGGTGGTCAAAGCAATGGGTGAGAAGTACTGTACTGTTTGGAACCTGTCTTCTTCTTGTTTAACACCCATGAAAGGACGACGCAGATGTACACATCTGTTACTGCAGCAAGCCAGACTCTGGCCATCATCGGTGCCTGATACACAATCAGCCGCCATTCTTTCCCAAGATTGTATCTCGAAGACCTACTGTGACCGCAGGTCGAAGTCTCCAGAAAACCCAGTGGTAAGCCAGCGTACTGCCAGTCTTATACACCTCAGAATATCAATTCGAAGCTTAAGGTTCTCTTACGCAATAACAAGTACACCCCCTGTGAGAGAGGGAGAAAAGGTATGGTCAGTATGATTGGCAGCGCGATGACTTGAAAGACTGTACAAAGGCTCATGGCTAGCATGCAGAGGTCAAAAATAGCGTCCGACTGGACAGTGCTCGAGGACACTCACCTAGAGACAAAAGTGATGATAGCAGCTAAATCCAAATTCCTCGTCTGAACTTTACCGACACACTAACAACCGGGCACTTACCGGAAGAACAGTCAACGCTATCTTAGCCTTCAAAGAAGAGTTTGATAGCACTAGAGATCATGTATGTGTTAGAGTATTGTGTACATATCCATTAGTTACCCGGAAACTTACAATGCCATATGCCATGGATGTAGAACCTAGGACAATCTCAACATGGCAGTTTGTTACCGGAGGTCTCCAATACACACATCTGTACGGCGCAGATAATTACGGACTGCATGAGCATTAGTTCCTGACTGCTGTACCATCGGAGGATGACGTGCCATAGTTGCATACTCCAGCTGCGATTTTGACAGGGATCAGTAGGTCTTGTTTTGTTATCGTAGGATAAGGTAAGCAACAGTACTCACGTCGAATGTTCTGCATGAAGAATATGTGAGCTGGATACTCACGCACGTGAGAACACACTGTGTACAAAAAGGCTGCGTACTTCGGGTAAGTAAGAGCGTTTGGTAAGTCGCCGTGATGTCGAACAACGATGGACCACACGATCTATTATTTGCGATTATAGTGATCCGCTTCATCTACGGCCAGCAAGAAACTGCACACGTACACAACTGTCAGCAGCGGTCACGACTGTGTCAAGCAGCCTTGCGAGCTATGTTAGTTTTGACGACTTGAACCCGAAGCAGAGTTGTTGCCAACCAAATCAAGAACACCTGAACAGCTGTCAGTACGGAACACAACAGATCCATTGCTTGAAACTGGATGACGCACGAATCCCTTGAGATATAGTTGGTCATGGTCCAGGTAATGACGAGTATAGTAGAAGAATTGAGCACATGCAAGTCCATACAACCTGAAGGACTTCGTCAATGCTGTGAACATATTGGGTTGCTGGACTCACATCACGGAAAAGGGGCCGAGCGCCACAAACATGCATCCTATGCTTGGACCGATATCGATGTGCTGAGTCGCCATTTCACTGGATTGAGTTATCCGACGAATATCACCAATGGTGTAGGGCCGCGTCAGGAGTTCCCAAGCAAGCCGACGACATTCCGTCTACGAGGTTCGTATGTATATAAAGCTCTATGAATAGCCATGATGTGGCTGTAATCGCAAGCGTTATTATTGTTGTAGACTGCAGCGTTGGAAAACGTCGTACGGTGACCAATGACTCGACCCATGACAGCTCTCTGGCGACGTGACACTATCGGGTGGTGCCATCGTTGAAGCGGTGCGGAGGTCCCAGCCTCCCACAACGACACGTCTGGCGACGCAGACATAAAACAGTCGCCTTTCGCATCGCACGACTGTTGATTACCTATGGCACCGCCGCTAGAGCGATGCGTCGGGTGTGATGGTTAATGCGAGGTTTCGTATTGCAATACACAGTGCGCATGCGCAATCAATACGAGCTCACCTGTGTTTGATCCCATTCGCGCCTTGCAGCCTTTAGATAGATGCGTGAGGTGTGATTCATTCTATCCAGTCTTCACCGTGACAGCCAGGCGCTACGCTATCCTAATCAGTGTCCGGGACCACGCAATCTGACGTCGTCATTTCAAACTTACTATGTACTGTCCTGGCATTCGACTGCAATATGATTTCTAAGTCGCGTGTCAAATGCTACGTTGAACGACGGCCTGTTCGAGGCGCGTTGTTCAGTCATCGTACCACGGAAGATGCGACTACATACCGTGCCCTAGCCAATTCCCAGAGCGTGTAAGCACATCGGACTGCTGTGACTACTAGCATGCAGTACAGCAATCGTTGAATGTTGAACGTTTGAACATCGACTCTGCATCTGATCCGCCGTAATTCGGCGATAGATGCAGCAGAGCCTCAAACACGATCCTGAAGCGCTGCGAACAATCTGGAATGCGAGAATTGACCACGACACCACTGCAAGTCTCCGGCACACTGTTGGGGAACGAACGACTGTGCCAGTCGACTCCTGCCACTGGCAGTACTTCAAGCGTCAGGTTGCACAGAGCGCTGGCCGCTGTGTGTTCAGGAGACAGTTCACTTGCCCAGTAGAATATATCAAAAAGAATTGGATTCTGCATGGCCTCAGTCAAAGCGACAGATATTGCGGTAACGAAGAGCCAGAGTAAGTGAGTTACTACGTAATGAGCACAACTCGATTCGGAAACACAGCAGTTGCCTATTGCAGGGACTGGCGGATTTGCACATGCACCAGCCACGTGGGTACCGTCGTGAACCCGCTGACTTAAGCTCAAGACTACGTCGTCCTCAACAGACCCGCTGCTTCCCCATCTTGATTCTTGACCACCATGGACGCACCTTCCACCTCAGCAGCAGCCCTCAAGCTTGAAATAGCTCGTCTTTCAGGTGAACCATCCGAGAGAGCTCACCGGACATGTCACTCACCCCCGTACAGGTGTTATCAACCGCCACAAGACTGGAGAACATCATCCGCAATCGCGGCCGACGGTTCGGCCTACAGCACACCCTAGAGCAACGTCTATGTCAATCCGAGCTACAAACCAGCCAGCAAGACCGCTCGTCCCCAAAACGCGCCCCCGCCGCGCTCGCAAGCCGCGGAGAGACCGTCTAACGCGCAGAAACATGATGTTGTCATCGGAGGGGTCGCCTTCGAGGCATCGG